CTAAAAATAAATTAATCTTGAACCATAGAATAACTGAACAGGAAATAGAAGGTGCCATTCAAAACATGCAACTGGGTAAATCTCCAGGACCAGATGGCTTGACCTCTAGATACTACAGATCCTTAAAAGAATGGTTAATTCAACCATTGAAAGAGGTCTGCAATGAAATAATGGAGGGAAGAGAGCACCAGAGTCGTGGAAAGAAGCATATATTACACTTGTACCAAAAACAGAGACTGAAAAGACACAACTTAAGAACTACCGCCCTATATCATTACTTAATGTGGATTACAAAATTTTTGCAGATATTTTGGCGAAGAGATTTTAAAAGTGTTGATGGAAGAGATTCACAAAGACCAAGCGGGCTTTCTCCCAGGAAGACATTTGTCTGACAATTTGAGGAATATAATTGATATCTTGGAAAATTAGAAGTGAATATAAACACTAAAGCAGTGTTGATATTTGTAGACGCGGAGAAAGCCTTTGACAATATTTCTTGGAATTTTATGAAGAAGAATCTACAGGGTATGGGGGTAGGCCAAGGTTTTGAGAATGGTATAAGTGCAATTTATTCAGAACAAAAGGCTAAACTAATTGTAAATAATGTTGTGACGGAAGAACTTAAAATTGAAAAAGGGACACGACAAGGCTGCCCAATTTTCCCACTTCTTTTTATTTTGGTCCTGGAGGTTTTGCTGAATATGATTAGAAGGGACCAGTCGGTCAAAGGTATACAGGTCGGAACTAAGCAGATGACTTAGTATTGACGTTACAGGAGCCAGAATCTAGTACTAAAAGGGTTTTAGAACTGATTCAAGAATTTGGTCAAGTGGCAGGATTTAAATTGAATAAGTCAAAAACCAAGGTTTTAGAGAAAAATTTAACACCGATTGAAAGAGAGAGGTTTCAGAATGAGACAGGTTTAACAGTGGTTAAGAAAGTTAAATATTTGGGGATTAACATGACAGCAAAAAATGGGAACTTATTTAAAGATAACTATGAAAAATGCTGGTCTGAAGTGAAAAAAGATTTAGAAATTTGGTCAAATTTGAAGCTTTCACTGCTGGGCCGTATTGCTGCGATAAAAATGAATGTATTGCCTAGAATGTTGTTTTTGTTCCAAACTTTGCAGATTGTGGACAAAATGGATTGTTTCAAGAGGTGGCAGAAAGATATTTCTAAATTTGTCTGGCAGGGCAAGAAGCCTAGAATAAAATTTAAAATACTAACAGATGCAAAGGAAAGAGGTGGATTTGCCCTGCCAGACCTCAAACTTTATTATGAATCAGCAGCCTTTTGCTGGTTGAAAGAATGGCTACTTCTTGAAAACACTGACATTTTGGACTTGGAAGGTTTTAATAATGTATTTGGATGGCATGCATATCTATGGTATGATAAGGTCAAAGCACATAAAGCATTTAGAAACCACATTGTCAGGAAAGCGCTATTTAATGTTTGGTTAAGATATAAGGATTTGTTAGAAAACAAAACCCCAAGGTGGCTGTCACCAATGGAAGCGAAAGCCTTGAAAAAGGTTAATATGGAGGTCAAATGGCCGAAATATTGGGAAATTTTGGGAACGAGACGGAGATAGACTGAAATTGCAGAGTTTTGAAAAACTAAAAAATAAAGTGCGAGACTGGCTTCATTATTATCAGATAATGGAGGCATTTAAATTGGACAGGAAAATTGGCTTCCAGGTGGAAAGATCCAAATTAGAAACAGAATTGTTAGAACCCAAAACTAAGAATTTGTCAAGAATGTATAACTTGCTGCTGAAATGGAATACTCAGGATGAAACGGTAAAATCGGCTATGATTAAATGGGCACAGGACGTTGGACATAATATTATGTTTGCTGACTGGGAACAGTTATGGACCACAGGTATGAAATTTACGGCATGTAATGCCTTAAGAGAGAATATTATGAAAATGATATACAGGTGGTACATAACCCCAGTCAAGCTTGCAAAAATCTATCACTTGCCCGATAACAAATGTTGGAAATGTAAAGAAACTGAAGGTACATTTTTCACCTTTGGTGGACGTGCCCAAAGATTAAGGCTTTCTGGGAAATGATATATAATGAATTAAAAAGGTATTTAAGTATACCTTCCCTAAGAAACCAGAGGCCTTCCTCCTGGGCATAGTCGGCCAAATGGTGGTAAAGAAGGATAGAACTTTCTTTATGTATGCAACAACAGCAGCAAGAATACTCATCGCAAAGTATTGGAAGACACAAGAACTTCCCACGCTGGAGGAATGGCAGATGAAACTTATGGACTATATGGAATTGGCGGAAATGACTGGTAGAATCCGTGACCAGGGAGAAGAGTCGATGGAGGAAGATTGGAAGAAATTCAAAGACTATCTTCAGAAACACTGCAAAATTAAGGAATGTTAGAGTGATGTTGGACTGAAAACAAGTGGTTTCCAGCTGTACAGGTTAAAGTTAATGATAGACTAAGATTAAAGATTAAGATTAAAGATGTTTAAAGAAATGGAAATTTGATATTAAGAGGGAAAATTTTAACGTTATATGATACTAAGACCAAGGATTAGGTTTAAAGAAGTTGAAGTTATATATTTTAATATTTTATCAAACTAAAGATTGGGATTAAAAAAGTGGAAAAGAAACTGCTGGACAAACAATTTGGATTGGAATACAAAAGAGGGAGGTATGAGGAAGTCCAGAAAATAAGTAACTTAAAAAGGGAAATGGAAAAGATATATTGTTTTTAATTGTTATGTTTTTTGTTTTTTTATTGTTGAATTTTGTGTTGTTTTTTGTGTGTGTTGTTGTTATATGTATTGCGTATGTTTTTTTTCTCTTTCTTTGTTGTCTAAAACCTTAATAAAAATTATTTTTAAAAAAAAAGAAAGAAACAAGGGGGCTAAATTGTGCTCAGTGAAGAGCAAGCATCGTCATGTAAAGGAATTTGCCTGTTACATTCCAAGCTGGCAACATGAAAGGCTGTTATTCCAATGAACTCAAGGTAGCAGACATGCTTCCCTCTTCCTTCCAATTTTAACCTCACAACAACCCTGTGAGGCTGGTTAGGCTTAGAGGCAGTGACTGGCACCCAAAGTCACCCAGTGAGTGTCATGGCTGAGCAGGGATTTGAACCAGACCACACACGCAAAGGGCTTTGAGCACCTGAAAAGCGTTATGCAGATCATAAGTTTCTGTTCTTTCCTGTGCACACACCTCATTCCCTCATCCATTGTGATGGAAGACAGTAATGAAAACTAGAGCTAAGGATGTCACATGCAGCCATGCGCAAGTTCCACAGACCCAATGGTCTGACTCAGTATAAGGCATGTTCCTATGTTCCTGCGGATTTGTAATATTTTTTCCTCCCTTAAAAAAAGCAGAAGCAATAACAAATGGTGAAAGGCTGCAACTGAGAATTGCTTGTGTTTTAGGCCACAATGGTAGATTCGGTTTTAATTCCTTTTTCTTATTTATTTAGGTCTCTCTATCTGCTGGTTTCCACAGCGACACTGGACTCACTGAGAGGGAGCCAGAGTTGTCTTTCGGCCCAGAAGCATCAATAACATTCTCTTTGGACGTCTGGCTCCAACATGCTTGGCTTTCTATGAGGTGATTTTTGGAGAGGGAAGGTGGCGAGGCCTCGGTCATGCTGGCCTGAGTGTGTACAGTTGAAGAATTCCTTGGGGCAAAGAAGAGAACAACTCTTGCTGGGGAGCAAAATGGCGGCTTCTGCTCCCTCGCCATACACCTCTTGAACAGGCCAGGTGGCTGCCATTAACCTGAGACCACGTCCCAGACACGAAATGAGCCAGAACACCAACTCCCACTTGGCCGATTCACCCCAGCTCTCCAAGAGCAGCCTGCTCAATATCCTGGGCAGCCCTCAGCCCGAAAGGATGAGCCTCTCCGATTCCCTGCCTGCCACCCCAAAGAGTGGCACCCCTTCGCCCGGCCCCCCTCCACAGCTCCCCTTGTTGAGCGCTGGCTGCCTGGACGGTGACTGGGAGAGCCGGGAGGAGCTGCGCTTGCGGGAGCTGGAGGAAGCGCGGGCCAGAGCCGCCCAGATGGAGAAGACGATGCGCTGGTGGTCAGACTGCACCGCCAACTGGCGGGAGAAGTGGAGCAAGGTGCGCGCCGAGCGCAACAAGGCCCGAGAGGAGGTGCGCCAGCTGCGCCAGAAACTGGAGACCCTGACCAAGGAGCTGACCGGCCTGAGACGGGAGAGGCAGGAGGTGCTGAATGAGAATGAGCAGCTGGGCAAAGAGGTGGCCCGGCTGAAGGGAGAGTGCAAAGGGGAGAAGGAGAAGGAGCTGGACAACCGGGTCGCGTCCGAGAAGGAGAGCGAGGCCTCCCCAGAGCAGGAGCCCGTGCGGGATGTGGGCTCTGAGAGGCTGCCGAAAAACAAGGTAAGTAGGGGGGTCGGGGCACAAGTGGCCTGTTTCATATGGAGGACTCGTAGGGATAGAGGAAGCTGCCTCATACCAGTCCATTTGGCCCATCTCGTACAATATTATCCACACTCTGGGATTTCAAGTGAGAGTGTCTCCCAGCCCTGACTGGGGGTTGAACCTGGGACCTCTTGCACATGGCGCAAGATGCTCTGTCCCTGAACTGCAGCCCTTCCACTGAAAACAAATCAGGGTTCCAGACCTCATGGTTGTGAAGAAAGAGATGACTTATTTACTTATAGGGGAGAACAGTCATTGTAGGGTTAGGGGAAAGGCCTGTGTGTTTATCTCGTGCCCCAGTAATTGCACCAAGCAAGTGCAAAGTTTCAACTGCACAACCTTGCCAAAGTTCCTTGTGAGCAATTCTCAATAAATAGCCTGGAATTCAGAACTTGAACAGGTGGAGCTTTTCGCACCAGTTATTTCAGTGCCAGGAACAGCTTCAGTTAACTGCATTCTGCATATTTAAGGTGCAAGGGCTGTTTTAAAAGGTGGCAATCTTCTCCATGCATGACAGGGAGGCCTTGAGGAGGTCGCATGGAAAGTGGGGCCAGCCAGGATAATTGTCAGCAGTCATTTAACCTGTCAGTTTATTTCCTCTTGTTTAGCACAACAAGCCACACCAACTTCTGGTATCCAAATACTTTTCCTGTTTTATATCTTGATTTACTGAAATACAAGTAGAGCAAGACATTTTTGCGGGTGTACAAATTTCTTTGCAGAGAAAGGTCTTTGCAGACCCTCATTTGTCTTTTGCTTTTATCAATCCTCTGGATGCCGTGCCTTGGATTGCTTGCCAGTGTGGTGTAGTGGTTAAGAGCGGTAGTCTCGTGATCTGGTGAACCGGGTTCGCGTCTCCGCTCCTCCACCTGCAGCTGCTGGGGGACCTTGGGCCAGTCATACTTCTCTGAAGTCTCTCAGCCCCACTCACCTCACAGAGTGTTTATTGTGGGGGAGGAAGGGAAAGGAGAATGTTAGCCGCTTTGAGACTCCTTAAAGGGAGTCAAATCCAAACCCCCCTTCTTCTTCTTCTTCTTCTTCTTCTTCTTCTTCTTCTTCTTCTTCTTGCCTTGACGTCTCTCTGGCCTTTTTGTTTCCCCTCCCAAAAAACTGAATATTTTTGGGGGGATGAGGAGGCTTTTACAAAGCAACTGAAATGCGAAATAATGAGGCGTTAGGCTGTGAGAAAGTGCAGGGATGGGAATTTTGGCTCCCATAAAGAGCCAGCTGGTACACATCAAAAGGAAATTGCTTGGACTCAAAGGCAGAGGCCGATGGGAACTGATGGCTGAGAAGATAATTTCACATATGCAGAATATAGAGGGTAGAGCAATTTGTTGTCTTCAGAGTAGTTACAATTTGCTAAACTCCTCCCTGTTGCCTGTGCTCTAGGACGATGGAATCGCTCTATGGTGTCTTGGTTTTACTGGCCAAGCACAGCACTTTGGGCAGAGAGTTGCAATCAGGGCTAATGGGCAACTCATTCACCTTCGCATTTCGTTATATTTAAACTAAACACTCTTAGATGACAATTTGGCAGGTTTCATTGAGTACCAGTAAATTGCCTAGTTCAGGCAATCCTCCAGTCATTGTGTGAAATACCAGAAATAATCCTTAGGTTCTCTCTCTCTCTCTTTCTTGCATAGCTTCACTCGCCATTGTTTTGTTCCGGTTGCCATGATGTCCAAATCTGTAACTATCAGTTGCACTTGCAAACCTGAATTGCAAACCATGGTTTGAGGTGGGATTTCAATTCCATTTTGGAGGACATTGGAAACCATGGTCGATTCAGATGCAGGGACACAGGAAGCTTAAATAGGAAGCTTATTTTGCCTTATACAGTCAAAATGATTGATCTGTCTAGCTCAGTGTTGACTACACAGACTGGCAGGAGCTCTCTACAGTTTAAGGCAGGGGTCTCTCCCAGCCTTCCCTGGAGATAACCAAGGATGGAACCTGGAACCTTCTGCATGCAAAGCAGATGCACTGCTACTGAGCTTCAGACATTCTCCATGGCAAATTATGTTTTATGATAAACTGAAAATGAAGGTGTGCTGGAGAGAGAGGAAAAGGGTGCAAGGGAGACCGTGGCTCATTTCCTGTCCTTGAAACCACAGTTTGGAGTTGCCATCCCTTCCCAACATGTGACTGCGAGTCTTGAATAGAGCTTCTACCTTCCCCCCCCTTCTCTCAGTCCCCTACGCAGCACATAGGTTCTGCATTAAGTTTTCCCTCCTAGCAAACTTTTATTCCTTTACAGAATTTCGACACTTTCAAGTTCAATGATTCCTTCTTTGCAGATAGAATGTTCGTGAATATTCTGTGACATCACAGCAGTTCAGCCAATAGCACAGGAGCAGCTGCTTGCAAGCAAATGTTTTGTGTGTGTTTAACACGAGAAATTATAGATAATTAATCGCCCCTGATCCGATCGGCATTGTAACTTTGTTTGTATGTATGTCACTTTCCAACAATAAACATATACCTAAAGAATACACTGCAGCATGTAGAACATGCTAGAATAGCCTTTGCCAGCCTGGTGTCTTATAGTTCTTTTGGCAGAGCTGACTGGGGCTGATGGCAACTGCGGTCCAAAACATCTGGAGGGCACCAGGTTGGCAAAGGCTGCACTATCATAACATTGTTGTTGTTGTTTAGTCGTTTAGTCGTGTCCGACTCTTCGTGACCCCATGGACCAGAGCACGCCAGGCACTCCTATCTTCCACTGCCTCCCGCAGTTTGGTCAAACTCATGCTGGTAGCTTCGAGAACACTGTCCAACCATCTCGCCCTCTGTCGTCCCCTTCTCCTTGTGCCCTCCATCTTTCCCAACTTCAGGGTCCAGGGAGTCTTCTCTTCTCATGAGGTGGCCAAAGTATTGGAGCCTCAGCTTCACGATCTGTTAGTGAATTTCCTGGCAACTGGCAACATTCACTAGAAAAATCATAATAGCCCCCTCCAGTTTCTCCCATGCACATTGTTTTGTTTTGTTTATAAACAGTCATCTAAGTAAAAGCCATTATAAGATCATGAAGCAATCATTAATATCTGCCCATATCCTGTTTTACTTGTGTGTTTCACCTTGCTGTGCATGTCTAGAGCAGAAATCCTGCTATGCAAACCTCGCTTTTCCAGAACGCATCGATTTGGAGGACTGAAACAAGTTCCGCTCACTCATAGACACTTCTCAGAGAGGTGGAAGCAGCTTTTCCCTGAGGAGAGCGAGCTCTGATGTTCCAGCCCTGGAGTTAGTGGTGCATTCCTGGCCAGGGTTGCTGCTAAGCCACCCACAGGCTTAGCCGTAATCCAGGGTTGTCCTCAGGGTAAGGTGAGAGTGGGAGTCGAAACCTGCACACTGGTAATCAGCTGTCAAGCCCTGCGTGACTTTGTCATTTCAAAAAAAAAGCATTTTATTGCTTTTTCACATATAATAAACATAATTTAAAACGCAAAAAAGAATTGCAGCTAGTCTCTCATCTGTATTGAGAAAAAAGCGCAACATTTTAGAGCCTGTTTATAATACATGTTACAGTCTCTGACCCGGTAGGTCTCTGCTTCCGTGGGTCTGAGGTTGTCTCGATTGACCATCACATCTCATATGGGGAATGAACAGGGTGGATTTGATTTAAATCAAATCAATTTAAATCACGATTTAAATTACTAGTCAGTAAGACTTGATTTATTTTTTATTTTTTTTTATAATATTTTTTATTGCATTTTTCCAGATAGAAATACAAGGTCAGATATACAAAGGAATAACAGAAAAGAGAAAGAAAAAGAAGAAAATCATCTTTTCAAAGCATTTTTCCATAACCAACCGGACTTCCCCCCGTCCCCCTCACCTTGCGTTCTTTACAATAAAATTTTTCAGCAAATTATAACCTTATTTCGTGCATTCTTTTGTTCTTTCAAATACTTGTGATTTGCGTTTAAAATGCTTATTGTCAATTTACACTAATAATATATATAATGTTCTTTTAAACGTTAGTCCTTTCATTAATATAGCTTAGTTTCCCATACCTTAATCTTATTGCTGGAGCTGAATTTCCCTAATCATGCGAATTCTTAACATTCATATAACTTATAAAATTTTTGTAAATAATCTTTAAATTTTTCCAATCCTCCTCCATTGCTTCTTCCTCCAAATCTCGGATCCTGGCAGTCATCTCGGCCAATTCCATGTAGCCCATCAATTGCGTCTGCCACTCTTCCAGTGTGGGTAAATCTTGAGTCTTCCAGTATTTTGCGATAAGAATTCTTGCTGCTGTAGTTGCATACATAAAAAGGTTCTATCCTTCTTTAACACCTTCTGACCGACAATGCCCAGTAGGAAGGCCTCTGGTTTCTTGGGAAAAGTGTACTTAAACACTTTTTTAACTCATTATAGATCATTTCCCAGAAGGCCTTCACTTTTGGGCAAGTCCACCAGAGGTGAAAGAATGTCCCTTCAGCCTCCTTACATTTCCAACATTTATTATCAGACAAATGATATATCTTAGCAAGCTTGACTGGGGTCATGTACCACCTGTATATCATTTTCATAATATTCTCTTTCAAGGCATTACATGCCGTGAATTTCATACCAGTGGTCCATAACCTTTCCCAGTCTTCAAACATAATGTTGTACCCAATGTCCTGAGCCCATTTTATCATGGCTGATTTGACTGTCTCATCCTGAGTGTTCCATTTAAGCAGCAAGATATACATTCTCGAAAGTACCTTGGTCTTTGGTTCCAACAATTCTGTCTCTAGTTTCGATTTTTCCACCTGGAAACCTGTTCTTTTGTCCAGCTTAAAAACCTCTTGAATTTGAGCATAGTGAAGCCAATTTTGCACCTTATTCTTTAATTTTTCATAACTCTGCAGCCTCCAAGTTTCTCCTACTTTTCTATAATTTCCCCATATTTCAGCCAACCAACCTCCATATTAGGATTTGTCCGGGCCTTGGCCTCTGCTGGTGAAAGCCACCTCGGAGTCTTACCCTCTAATAAGTCCTTGTATTTTGTCCAGACCATAAATATTGATTTTCTAACAATATGATTTTTGAACATTTTATGAACCTTTACCTTGTCGTACCACAAATATGCATGCCAACCAAAAGCATTATCAAACCCTTCCAGATCTAGAACATCAGTGTTCTCAAGAAGTAACCAATCTTTCATCCAGCAGAAGGCCGCAGCTTCATAATATAATCTCAAGTCCGGCAGGGCAAACCCCCCTCTTTCTTTCAAATCAGTTAGTATTTTAAACTTTATCCGGGGCTTTTTGCCCTGCCAAACAAACTTAGATATATCCTTCTGCCACTTTCCAAAACATTCCACTCTGTCCACAATCTGTAGGGTTTGAAACAAAAATAACATTTTCGGCAATACATTCATTTTTATAGCAGCAATTCGACCCAACAAGGAAAGTTTCAATCTTGACCAGATTTCCAAATCTTTTTGATTTCCAGCCAACATTTTTCATAGTTGTCTTTAAATAGATTCAAATTTTTCGCTGACAAGTGAACCCCTAGGTATTTCACTTTTTTACCACACTTAGTTCTGTTTCCTTCTGAAACCCATCTATTTCTGAGGGTGTCAAGTTTTTCCCCAAAACCTTAGTTTTTGCTTATTCAACTTAAATCCCGCCACCCGACCAAACTCATGAATCAATTCTAATACTCTTTTTGTACTAGATTCTGGCTCCTGTAATGTTAAAACCAAATCATCTGCAAAAGCTTTCAATTTATATTGTTTCGCTCCGACCTGTATTCCTTGTATCAACCGGTCCTTCCTAATCATGTTCAGTAACACCTCCAGGACTGAAATAAATAAAAGGGGGGATAGGGGGCACCCTTGTCGTGTCCCTTTTTCAATTTTGAACTCATCTGTCACCACATTGTTTACTATCAGTTTAGCTTTTTGCTCAGAATAAATTGCTTCTATTCCATTTTCAAAACCCCGTCCCACTCCCATCCCTTCCAGGTTTCTCTTCATAAACATCCAAGAAATATTATCAAAGGCCTTCTCCGCGTCGATGAAAATTAACACAGCTTTCGTATTGATATTAGTTTGTAAAAGTTCCAAAATATCAATAATGTTCCTGGTATTATCAAAAAGATGTCTCCCTGGGAGAAAGCCTGCCTGGTCCTTATGAATTACTTCGTTAAGTATTTTTTTAAGTCTGCTCGCCAAAATATCAGCAAAAATTTTGTAATCCACATTTAGGAGTGAGATGGGACGGTAGTTCTTAAGCTGAGTCTTTTCAGATTCCAATTTAGGAATCAATGTGATGAAAGCTTCTTTCCACGTTTCCGGTGCCCTCCTCCCCTCCATAATCTGGTTACAGACCTCCATTAGTGGTTGTATCAAATAGTCTTTTAGTGTCTTATAGTACTTGGAGGTAAGTCCATCTGGGCCTGGAGATTTGCCTAGTTGCATATTCTGAATGGCACCCTCTATTTCCTGTCGTGTTATTCTATTATTTAAGATTGTCCTCTTCTCCTGAGATAGTTTGGATAGACCGTTAACTTTTAAAAATTGATCTATCTCAGACACTTCCTGAGGCCCTTGTGTATAAAGTTTTTGAAATATTTCTGGAAACACTTTCTAATTTCTTCTGGTTTCTGAATGTTTCTCCCTTCCACCTCTAGATTAGTGACAAAGTTCAATTTTTGTCTCTTTTTCAACTGCCATGCTAGCAGTTTTCCACATTTATTTGCCGATTCAAATGATCTTTGTTTCATTTGTTTGATTTTCCATTCCACTTCTTGATTTATCAATTTCGCATATTGAGCTTGGTGGAATTTGATTTCTCTTAAAACCTCTTTTGATTTTGGTTTTAATCTCAATTTTTCTCTCCTTCTCTTATCTTCTCTAATATCCTATCTTTTTCCCATTCCAAAGTTTTTCTTGATTGTGTTCTGTTGTATCAGAAACCCCCTCATTACAGCTTTACTTGCGTCCCAGATTGTTCTCTTTTCCACCGAAGTGTTCAAATTGATTTCAAAATAGTCCTTTAAAGTTTTTGGGCCTTCTTCACAATCTCCTGATCTCTTAGTAGGGTGTCATTCATTTTCCATCTGAAAGAACCGGTTGGAGTAAGTCTCAATTCCACTTTCAAAGCATTATGGTCGGAGCAAGTCTTTGGACAGATTTCCACTTTTCTGATCTTAGGTGCCAGTCCTCTAGTTGTCCATATTTGGTCGATTCTTGTCCATGATAGGTGGGCCTCAGAAAAAAATGTTCCTTCTTTACCTAAGGGGTTCCTTGTCCTCCAAATATCAATCAAGTCCATGTTATCAGTTAGTTCAAAGAAGGTTTTAGGTAGTCTGCCGTCTTTAGTTAAATTTTGATTTTGTGACTTATCCATGTGAGTAGAAACCACCCCATTCATATCGCCCATCATTATGATGTTGGTATAGTCCAGATAGTCCAGCATTATCTCATGCAGCTTCTTGTAAAATTCCGATTTCCCCTCATTTGGTGCATATATTCCTAAAATCAAAAACTTTTCTCCTTGTGTTTGTATCTCAATTGCCAAAATTCTTCCTTGCTCATCTTTAAACAGAAATTTCGGTGACAGGTTCTCCTTTGCATAAATCACTACGCCTCTTTTCTTGACTTTGTCTGATGAAATAAATTCTTGGCCTAGTCTTTTGTTGATTAACACTTTCCTATGGAGCCTAGTCACATGCGTTTCCTGCAAGCAAACAATATCCAAGTAA